TTTTGTCCAGCCAGGAACCACTGTGCAACGGCTTTACTTCCTTTCCAAAAGAAGGCGTGATCAGAGATGTTATGCCTCAGAACATCCCGGCGACGCCGACTGGGATTGAACCCAGGCCTGCTGGGGGTGAGAGGTAATCACGCTTACCACTACACCACCGGCGCCGCTGAGCTAAATCCTTGTCCAAAGGGTATTTTCAGTAGAAATTACAAACAAAAAATCAACAGTTTTCTTCAATGCCTAGTTGCGCCTAAATGGAGGCAATTTCTATAAGCTCTCCAAGTTTCATGGAAAACCATTGATTTCTCAATATATAAAACCTTTTACAGTATTTTTTCAATAATTCGATTCACTGACACTTGTTTAAAGGAAAAATACAAATTTCAAGGTAATGAGAACAATCGTTGTAATCCTTTGTCCGTTTGTTAGAATGCTGATTTTGTATTATATTGGTCGTCAGTAAAGTAAAATTGAAACTTTTACAGTAAAATCATTTTTTTTTGTTATGAGAAACTCGTCCAAGTTTTCTCGTGGAATCTCATGATAAAATTTCAACAAGATTTCTCTTGATATCCATCTCCGTACTTTTTCTATACATTATCTAAAAACGCGACCCATAATGATCCATTTCATTCCGGTGATCAATTTCTTCCCGGATTATCCATTCCAAAAGCTCTTCATGAAGGTTTGAAAATTTAAATGTTTTGCGTCGATTTTTGTTTGACAATATGCCACCGTGTTTGCTTTTACAAAAATAAAAACAATTAGGTTCACACCCAGCTAACCATTAAGCATTAGAATTTGCAGTATATCAACTTCATATTTGTATTGCAAATACCTCTTGCTGTATGTTAGCATTTTAGATGCATATCTCTTGTATATCAGCAATTAAAATGCATAATTGTCGCAAATCGGCATTTCCCATACTTCGAGAATATCGAGATAACAAAAGAAAGTATAGATGCTTTTTTTAAATTATTATTATTAAAATAAATTAAAACAGCATTTTACATAACAAATTCAATACTTCCGACAGTTTATGGGGTCTAGCAGTAAAGCAGCCGGATATTTTTCCAAAATTGGTTTTAAGTAGCATTTACTGCTAATAACGTGCTGTTTTTAATGCTCCGTCTACCTGGGTACTCATGGTAGAAAGCGAATTGTCGAATCTTCGCAGATTGCGAAGCTGGCAAAGTGCTGCCATGGATCGAAAGGAATGGAGACGGCATCTGCGTACCGCAAAAAACACACACCCAAATAAAAATTTGGTTTTATCAGGGTTCTGTGGACCATGATTTATAATTGTATCATGCTTTAAAATTTTGATAAAACTTGCAATGTTGCTTGGGCAGGGAATATTTAGGCCTGACTGGTAAGGTAAGGGTGGTTCATACTCTGTCTGAACCATACTTATTTAGATTTTAAAATCAGATCAATTTTTCACAAAACTCAAAAACGTATTACCAAGTTGTTTGAACTCTTGCAACCCATGAATTTAGAAACGCTGTTTGATGGGACCGAAAATACCACCGACATTGCGAAAAATGGGAACACATATCGAGATATGGAACATCAAGACGTAGAGAATTTACTGTAGTTTCTATTGCATGCTGAATAACGACGCACTAGAGGTGGTATCATACTGAAATTGCATGCCACTTTGAGATTCGTGGGCGTGGTCACTTAGCCTCTTGTGCAGTTACTCCTATCCCTACCTCCTCGCGGTGCCGGCTGGGGTACCAGTAACCATAGGAAAGATCGGGTAACCAACGTCGTATGCTGCGCAGTGCAGTAGAGTGCAGTCTTCGAGCGTCTATTCACCACCCAGACAACCAGAAGTCGTATAACAATGAGCAGACAGTATCGTAAATTGCTACAGTTCAAGTCAAAATCGCATATAAGAATGGCATGCATCGCATTATGTTTAAGTTAAATCGTATAGAATGCAAATTTCCGACCTATATGCGATGACTCATTTTTCCGTCGTACTGTATCACGAATCAGATCGGATTACATCGTAAGACTTTTCAAAGTGAATTTGTTATTACAGATTAAATCGTATATGATGTTAAATCAACTCGTTTAAAATTAAATTAAAATTTGCGCGTATATGGCCTCCACTTTTGTACGTAAAAGCCATTTCTTTGCATTCTATACGATTTGTTTGTTTGTATATATGTTTGTATATCACGAAAACAACTTTGAATATACGTGCATTCTGGTTGTCTGGGCATGAAGGTGCGGCTCAAAACGGTGTCTGTTCTTCATGTTAGGAGCGGCTGATCAACGTCCTGGTGCCAGCATGGTACTCTAAACAGTGCTGTGCACGATGGTCCTTCGGCGAGATAGTGGGAGTTGGTGCAAACCCTACCAAACAGCCGTAAAAAAACTGAAGTACAGGAAGCAAGCAATGCAAATACGAACCGGAACACTTGGCATAGACCCAAGCAACGAAAACGGACTAACCATTGGAAACTCGGAACATGGAACTGCAAGTCTCTCAATTTCTTGGGGAGTACCCGCATTAAGTGTGGGACGGTCAAAAAATTGGAGACAAGCAGCCACGAGCCGAGTAAGTCATCGTAACATTGTGACGCAGGTTCAATCCTGGGGGACGTCGGATCAGGAAAAGTAAAGTAAGTAAATGAGGTTATGAATCGAGGCCCTAACATCAAATCAAACTACCATAGTGTTACTTTTCTAAATCCACGATGACGACTACATTAGATGCATTGAAATTTTCAAAGACGAAGTGTACTGTGTAAAATTCAAGCAGTTTTTGTTATGATTCTACAAATTCTGAGCTCCAACTTTTGATTACTGAAGAATCAAAGCCCTGACTGAAATATTGATTGAAAATTATTTAACAACCGTACTCATACCTATCAATTTTTCCACCTTTACCGTCATTCTATCTTCAAAGTGTGTTTTGTTACTTCATACGTGAAGTTTACGATTTCCAGAGTTGGGAGGAAATGCTATACTAATATCAACATAAAGCTTTAGTGCGAAAATTTATTATCTAGAGAAAGTTCTGAATAGGATCGATTAATAGTTCCGCTAGAGTACTATCCTCTTACGCTATCCTCTTCAGAACTTTCTCTGGCCAGGCTTACAATTGCTCATAACAGCTAAAATGCTATTTTTCGTTATTATGAAACAATGGGATACTATAATGATAATTTTTATTTGTAAGATGCATTAAGAGGTGCTTGTAGAATTTGTCAATTTTGCTTTCAGAAGGTCACAACTAGCGATTTCATGATCACTGATTGCTCGCTCATCGCGTTGCTCATCGTTACAGCTAATCGCTAGTTGTGACTTTCTGAAAGCAAAATTGACAAATTCTACAAGCACCTCTTAATGCATCTTACAAATAAAAATTATCATTATAGTATCCCATTGTTTCATAACAACGAAAAATAGCGTTTTAGCTGTTATGAGCAATTGCAAGCCTGTCTAGCTAATCAATTATCGCTCTAAAGCATCATGTTGGTATTAGTATAGGATCGACTCCCAACTTTGTCATTCTAAATATTTTGCCCTTATTGTTAAGAGTGGATTGCCAGGGTGTTTCGTAAAGTAGCTTAACTCAATTTTTTTTTAAATTCAGTTGAGAAATATCGGTAATCTCTAAGCGATCAACTCAATCCCAGAATAAGTGTATGACTTTAAATCTTTGCTCACTCATTTGTCAGCTTTTGAACCCTTTTTTGTGTATAACCAGTGGGATTTCAATATCGCCCTCCACCCTCTCCCACCCGTTTCACAACTTACTTTTATTATTAGGTACATATAAGCAATTTTTTCTTGAGCCACCAGGTTTTTTTTGGGAGGGGAGTAAATCCACTGCGTCCATTATTTGAACTTTTGTGGTACCCCTATTTGCTGTTTCTATCATGCAAACCGACCACTATTTAACGAATGGACGGCTAATTGCCTGGCCACATCTTTTCCCAGTCCGGTTTAATATGGTTTATAAAACCAACTATTTTTCCAGGATTTGCAGACCAGACAAAGAAATTTAGATCTACGCTTGTGTAATGCACCACCATCTGCCGAGCAGATGTTCCAAGGTTTTACGTTCTAAATTACAGAAACGACAGATATCACTCTGAACCCGACCAATATTCTGCATGTGATATCTACTAGAACAGTGCCCAGTTATTAGGCCAGTGTATATACTAAGAGCTCTTTTATTGATTGGTGTATGTTATATTCGGAGTTATTAATCTTTTCGACTGGTTGCAGTTTGTGACAGTCTTCCCTCTGCTCTTCCCAGCATTTGAGTTCCATTTTTACCGTACAGTATGATATTCCACAGTATGGTTCTGGGCCAAAAAACTGTGAATTGGAACCTAAATTTGCTAGGTCGTCTACCCTTTTATTCCCTTCAATACCCCAAGTGTCCTGGTACCCAATATAAGTTTACTGAGTTCCGTTGGCACAGTTTCCGAAGCGAGAGAATACATTCCCAGACGATCTTTGATGTACATTTGTAAGAACTCAGTGCGCTGCTTGATCAGAAAAAATACAAATATTTGCACATCTGTATCAGACAAACATGTACACATTCAAGTATGGCTACAATTTCCGCTTGAAACTCTGTTGGAAAATGTCCCATCGCAACTGAAATATTTGTGCCGGGACCAAAGATTCCTACACCTGTTTGTATTCCAATTTTTAAACCATCTGTGAAAAATATGACTGAGCCTTGACGAATGTTATTGTATTGCATTGTTATTTTTTGTAAATCTCGAACATCCCAAGTAAGTCCGCTCTAAAACAGGCCTGCCCAAAATCTTTCAAAATTTCCTTTTTAAATGGTTGTATCTACGTTTGATGAACATGGCTCAAGCCGAATGTCCTTTATGGCTCATCAATTCTGGGCTAAACTTCATAATGATGTATAAAATTGAACTAGGAATAATGTCATATTGTGGAGACCTAGGGATCCCGTCTGGCCCCTCGCTGCTCTTAAACCTCGTGAAATTACCCACCTCTTTTTCCAGGTAACCAGCTCGGAGCGCGATTTGATTCTCCTTCATGCGTCGGGCGTCCCGGGACCGCTTCGCCGCCATATTGTTCTTCCGACGGCGGGCCCAGTACTTGTCGTCCTTCATGTCATCCGGGACGAACTGCTTGCGGGATTTCTTGATCATCGGCTGCGGTTTCAGTTCCTCGTCGGAGAAGGCCCGTGTCCGCGGATCAAAGTCACGCGTGGCCGACGACATCGAAAACGCTGCAACATCGAAAACTAACATTTACAACTATGAGGGGATATGCTCTTTATAAGAAGGGGACGGGTCTGGCGGCACGGGTCGAGGAGGATGGAGGGGGGGGTGGGGTGTTTGGGTGGCTAAAATCCAAAGCAAACCACACCGGAACGACACGAGCGTGGTTCGAAATGGATTCTCCGACGGGATGGACTGGGTGGGAACATGGTATGGCAGTAGGGGAAGGACAAGAGATGCGATGTTTTCCACCGATTTACTGGTTGGGTGGCGGCTGGTGGTCGATGATTGTGGGAATGGAGGCTGGTGTGATCGATAGAGCAGCTGGAAGAGCTAGAGATTGCAGAGGGTTACTTACTTGAGTCAGCCGGTGACGGCGGGTTTATCGTGTCCGGACTCATGCAGTCTGTGGGCGATGGCGAGCGTTCCCGTTTCGTCGTCACCTGGCTGAGGCCGAGCGAGAGGCTCGCACAGTGTCCCAAACTGTCGGAGCGGCTGTTGAGGCTGGTCGAGTGGCCCAGGTGTCCGCTCGGCAGCCCGTCCACCGGGATACCGTTCTCTGACAGGAATTCATCGAGGTCGGCGTACTAAAAAGGGAAATGGGAAGAGTTAATGCCTGTGCTGTCAGGGGATGCGAGTCTTGCGAGAAATGAAATGCATGCCATACGATAAGACACATTGTAGGATCTGTTTTGGCGAAGGTTGTTGTTGTTGTGGTTGTTGTCAAGCATATCTTTTAAGGGAAAACTGTAATAGAATTTCGCATTTCCTAGTCTGGAGTTAAATCTTCAAGTCTTCTGGAGAAAATTTTGCTGTCTACACTTAGAAAATTAGGCAAATTATATCCATACGATTAATCTTATGAAGGTCAAGGTAAGCGTTGAAAATATCTCCTTCTTCTTCGCATTTCAAGCTTTATGACACATTGCATATTAGCTTATTGCGTGCTTCGTGTTCTAGATGCACTTCCACAGTTATTAATTTAGAGCTTTCGATGCCTGTACCATTTATGCATTAGTATAATTGTGGGGCAAGTACAATCATGCTCTATGCCCAGGGAAGTCGAGACATTTTCCAACCCGAAAAATTCCTAGACCTGACCGGGAATCGAACCCAGCCACCTCTAATATGGCCTTGCATTGTAGCTCTACCTTTACCGACTGAGTTAAGGAAGGCCCGTTGAAAATATAGTCCATACAAAATCGTGTGAAATTATTATTTTACATTCATCGAAGAATTCTGGTTCGTATGTGCATCTATTCGCCGCTTCTAATGATATCGTTGGACTAGTCCGTTAGGTGCGTGGCTTCTTATCACGAGGTCCATGACGTCTTTTGTTTTCCATGAGAATAGTTTTCATACGATATCGTATGATATCCCAAAAACATATCGTGTGGTTGAAATCCATAGGATGATCGCATGAATCACTGTCAAATTTGTTTGCTCAACTCATCAACGCTCGAATTATTTCACATTCATAATAAACACTGGGGTGGGTTAACCAGTTATGGATATACGTTCCTATTATGGTGGGGCCTATGAGAGTATGTCATTATTGGAACACACCATAATAGGAACGAATAGCCATAACTGGCACATATGGAACTCAAAAATAAAATTGACGAACTCATAATGAAGAAACACGCCGTGCATCATAAGATCAGGCAACTATTGACAAGTTTCGAAGCAGGTAGAAGTGGCAGAACGGTAATAGAAAGCCATGGAGGGCAAAAGCCGAAAATGCACTGTAAGTTGCCACGGACGCCGAAAGAACGCTGGAAAAGAAATATAGGGATACACCAGGAGAGGAAGAAGAGCCCAAAACGTAAGAATGACCAACAAGATAACAAGAAGAAGAAAAGGTGCAGTAGGCAGTGGACGGCGTACTATCGAAAATCAAAAGATTATTCTCGAGATTTCGACCCTGCATGTACAGTGTACATTGTACACGTAGTCTATAAGAAGACTAGTGTCACCTAGTGAGAGAATTCTGAGCTAACCTGTCCACAATTCAAAATGTTTCGAGATGTTGACCCAGCATTTACATGAAATTCATAAGAACACTAGTGGCACCTGGCAAAAGAATTCCAAAATAAGCTGTCCTCAATTCAGAAGTTCTTAGCCTTTTGAACAACATTGCAAAAAACAGCAACTTTGTATCTAGCAAGGATCATGAGATATTGCATGTACACAAATTTCACGTGATCACTAGAGTAACCTAGTGAGATAATTCTGAACTAAACAATACACTCTAGTATTGTCTTTTGTAATCCAAACAACATTGCAGAAGACCGCATTCTTTTTCGCATCTAAAACACACTGATAGCACGAAGTTTTCTATTGATACTAGTGCCACCTAGTGAGTTAATTCCAATCTAAATGGGTTGCGAATTTCAATAGATTGGTTCATAGAATAACATTGGTGAAGACATGTATAACTTTTGAGCTAAAGTTTCTCAACAGCATTGTTGGCAAAATCATCAATCAATTGATTTTGTTCCGCTCGTTTTCTTAAAGAGTGTACTCGAAAAAAAAAATGCAACATTTTCTGTTGTGTATAACTTTTTATTGCATGGATTAAAATTGATGTCCTCGCCGTTGGCAGACACGAAGCTACTGCTGCCAGTAAAAATCATTTAACTCAATCTCATCACGGTTTGATTAGAAATGTAGCTGGCGTGTTTTGTTAGCTTGATATTTGTAGCTTCGAAATCATAGCTTGTAATATCATCCGCAGCTGCTTGTCTACGAAAATCAAGCGTGATTTTAATTTAGGTTTGCAATTTTGCAATTTTACATACCAAAACTGGGTTCCTGGTTCTTTGGGCATGCCTCAGGATCCATTGAACATAGTATTTTTTTTTTAAATTTAGAACCATCGTTTCACAAATCGTTAGAAAATCTATTGTCAAACATTCGATATGACAAGCCTATAAGCAGTTTCAAGTGGAAACGTTCTCAGGCAAGCATATCTGAATTAAATGATACTTTGTCTTTATTTTCCACTGGCGAAAACATTAATCTTCCCCAGATATTACGACCATCTTGGCTCAAGCATATCTTTAAAAAGGGCGTATGTATTTTTATGGGCATTGTGTTTGAAAAAACGTATCTCAAAAACTATTGATTGCAGCGAAATGCTATCTAAGAACGAGCTATAGATAATTCAAAAATCTGCAAACAATATACACTGAAAAACAAACCTTTTATTTTAATTAATACAAAAATTAAAATCTTAATTATGAAAAAAATTCTATGGAGAATGGAAGTTAGTTAGAGACTTTTAAAAATAATTCTGATAGTGAGCAAAAAAGTTGAGGGTTGTGTCCAAAGCACTACTGCCATATTGACGTAGAACTACGAGATTATTTTTGGAACTTTAATTAGAATTCACTTGAAATTATCTTTCTAATTCCCTCAGAATTCAATACTCTCAATTTATTTTAAGTTGTCATAAGAACTCTCTTTATATTCTTCCCAGAATTTATTTAGAATATTCATTTGAAATTAACCTGTAATCCTCTTTACAATCGTCATGTTATTTCACATAGAATCACCTCATAATTCTACTTTAAACTTGAACGTTGGCGTTGTAGTCAAAACTCCATAAAAAATACTTCTACAAACTCCATTGGAATTTGTATCTTACATACCTTAGTATCTCAAGAATTCATTCTGAAATTTCCTCTAAATTCCTTTGGAATTTTCATCAAAATGATCGAATAAGTTCTTCAAAGATTTCTATTTTCCAAAGAGAGCACGAAGTATATTTTTTCCCGGTTTATCATCGAAATTCACGGACTTCTCCCGGTGATTTAGAATGTCCGACTTTTACCCGATTTCCCGGTTCACTGGTCACCCTGTGTATACAATAGGTCTTTTCCATCTGAATAACATTACTAGAGATAGCAATCTCCTGTCTAGTCGAATCACATAAAGCGAAACTAACTCAGAGGGTGCTCATGCGTAAGGATACATTTCTAAAAGCGTTGGTCACTCAGCGCATGAGTAACCTACGTAAAAGTGGCTCACTTTCTGAATAAGATTCGTTTTCAGTGAATGTAGACTGCTTAAGCAATCCTTTTGAATCAAATGGTACTAGCACCTCATGGTGAGTGCATTCTGAACGAAGAGGCCAATCATGCGATAAGTATTGTCAGATTGTCCATCCAAATAACTTCACTGTACACGGAAACCTACTTTCTGGCCTTCCTGTCAAGTTAAAACATGGAATTGGATGCAAATGGCACACTGAGCTTGACAATCCAATATTGATTATCTAGCCAAGATGGCATGCTAAATACATTGAAAACGAATATTACTCAGAGAATGAGTCGCTTTTTCTGATTCGTATGGAGATTTTTTTTTTAAATTGTAGTTTACTCATGCGTTGAATAATCTACGCTTTAAGAAACTTTTCATACGAATGAGTAAAAGTGACTCACAACTGAGTAAAAAACATGCAAGGGACAGCCTTATGGGGTTGTACGCAATGGTGACGTAGGACTACGTGGTCTTATTTAATAAATCTTAACTGCAGCAGGAGCTTGTGTTTTGTGTAGGAATAGGAATTTGAGAGGGGTTCTGTCTGTTTATACTCTTTAGTAGATGGCCCACAGCGACTCACGAAGAGCTACTGATTCCGATCAATAGCGGTGTGGCTTCTTCCTCCTTATATGGATGCTCATGTGGGCTGCAGCTCGCTGCTTGCAGGCAGCTTTCCGTTGTGTACTGGTGAAAAATATTGAACGCCACGCCCGAAAGCACTGCTGATGCCGACGACTAGACAACACCACGCACGGTGATTGAACTGAATCCGATCAGCGTTTGAGGGCAGCCTTGATAGCTAGCTGCTTGCGGGGAGCCTTTCGTTGTGTACTGGATAACACCACCACTCATCACGCGGTGATTGAATAAACACTGTTTGGTGAGACCGGATGGAATTCAACTTTGAAATCTGTGCTAGGGAAATCGCTTTTCACAGGCAATCGGTAATAGTTTTAATTATCATAGCAACAGTTGCATATTCGTACAATTTTCAATAGTTACATTTTGAAAATTGTAATTGATAATTTAACAGATGCGTAGAAATATTTCTTATCGATTGCTGATAAAATTATTAAAATAGGTCCAGGGGCAGTTGAGTTATTAACGTTCAAAATCTTTCATAATTTTGTTACATGTTCCATTTTCGGTTTTCACAAAGTGTACCCCCATATAGATATCACAGACGTTGTCCTACGTCAAAATTGGTGTAGGTGACTGAGTAGAAAAAATGCTATGATGTCTACGCTGCAGCGAACAAGTTCGAGGTCGACCTGTCTTACGTGTAACGCTGAATTATTATGCGACTTCGGTTTGTGTTGTTAGGGACCACCTTTCTGATGGCTGTGTTAGGGGTGAGCACCTTGCGGTCGAAGAAAATGTAAAATGCAATTTGAATTTTTTTCCATGTTTCTTAATTTTTAGCTATTCAAATAGTTAACATTTTTAATGTGTGACATAGCACAAACATTTTATAGAACTGCAGAATTGAACGACATACAAATCATCAAAATATTAGCATTTAAAGTCTGACCAATTTTTG